CGACTCCCTTTCCTTTCGTAATCTCTTTGATTTTGTACTTAAACTGAGTGTTTCTCGAACTGAATATTCTGTTCTCCGGAATATTATAGGTATTCATCAAAAACTTTTTCTTATCTTCGGTTCCAATCGTCACATAAATATCGCATTCATAGAACTGACAAATACTGATCGCCGCCTGACCCACACCTCCCGCTCCCGAATGAATCAAAATTGATTCGCCTTTAAAATTAATATTTAATTAAAATTATTTGAAAATAGTAACAGTGAAAACAGTTTATAAAAATCTAACCGTTTTGCATATGTGCTCTCTCTATGAGACCATACCATACAGTACTGTAAGTACTCAATACAGACACCGCCTCATCCATCGACCAGTTGTCGGGCACTTTAGAGATAAAGTCTTCGTTGGCGTCAATAGAAGTGGCATAACATCGACTCATATCGAAACCGCAAACTCGCTCTCCAGTGTCGGCCCGACGGCCGGCGAACTCAAAACCAATACAACAATCAGTGAATAGCATTTGTGGTCCCGAAGCGATTCGGCCTATAATTTAACATTAGATTAATTGTAATTTAAAATTGAAACATTAATCAAGAGTTGTATTCAAATGACAAACCTGTGGCAAACATAACATCTCTGAAGTTCATTCCAGAGCTATATATATTACACGCAATTTTATTGGTCTTTGTATTCATGAAATCGTAATCGTCTTTATTTGTGACCAAACCCTTCGAGTCATACCATTGAAGAGAAGCTAAATCTCTGTTATGGCCGACATTAAGGAAGTAGTCGTTTGACTCTATTTTGTCGTATTCTTTGTTTAACGTGAAGTGTCTATAAGTACCGACTTTTCCGTTCTTCAGCACATTTATAGGCAAATCGTTGGACAAAATGTCTGAATACGGCTTTTCAGTGAACTTCACGGAACCTTTGATGAGGTTATCGTAATCGAAGACACATCTCAGACACTCTCCTCCCGGCTCTAAACGAAGACAATTAATGAGACCAATGATACCATTCTTGGAGGAGTCGTTTGCAATGAGCCAAAGAGTCTCATCGTTTGACTCTTTGTCCTTATGTTCTGTTATTTTTTGCTTCAATGTTTCGAACCATTTCTCGGGATTACTCGCGATTTCAACGATATTCTCACTTTTTGGTACTTTAGGTTCAGAGAATAATTTTCTAAAAAGTAAAGCCATGGATCCGATTGAATCCAATTTCTTTCCGATAACATTAAAGCCCACACTTTGAGCGGCTTTTATAAAATCGACGATTCGTTTCTCTAAGTCCGCGTTTTTCAGAGCTTTTTTGCCATTCATTTGATTCAATGCGAGCTCTGGTTCTGTCAATTGGTATCTGAAAACTGAGATCAAAAATCCTTTGTCTGAAATGACATCAAAAATATCTTGTAATTGAGAAGTCATATCGATTTCCCACAAATGATGCGAATCTTTAAGTAGAATCAAATTAGAGGAAGTGATCTCATTTGGAAAGACACTGTTCTGTGGATTCCATTCAACCAGTTTAAACGTTTGATTCTTATAGTTATCATTCAAAGTACTAATAGATTTGACAGCAATAGTGTAGTTAACTTCAATCGGATAGATATGAGATGAGGCCAACTGTGTGTCCACTTCTTTAGCCATCAATCCATTTGTCAAATTGAGTTCCAATACTTTAATCTCTTTCTTAGGGATAAAACATTCGCTCACAATATCGACCAGAGATCGGATCAAATGCTCATTCTTTGAAACTTCGTTTATATAATCGAGAGATAAGTCATATTCGGGATTGTTTTGCAAATCAGTGATCACTTTATTGGTGTCAATATTCTGGTTCTCATCAATACATCCCTTAAAGACTTGGTTCAAGATTTTTAGTAGAATTTGATTGTCTTTCATGTCATTTAAGTATTTATTAACCAAATCATCGCTAATATTATTCATTTTTTTGTCTTTAGTCTCAATTAATTGTTTAATTTTATCGGAAAGAGATGAACACACCTTCAAAGCAAACAAATAATTTAGTTATTTTATATCAAATATATATTTAAAAATAAACTCAATTCAAACCTTCAGATATTCTTTCACTAATTTCTTATCGCATTCTTCAATAGCGATATTCTCTTCATTGGCCACGAATTGATACGATTCTAGTTTCAAGTCTTGCATATTTGACTTGCGAGGAATGGGAAGTGCCATCAGGTCTTCAATCTCAATACCATGGGTGACAATCATTCGTGAATTCATGTCCACATAATACGGCAAAACAGACGGATAGACGTGAAACTCTTTGCCGAACAGCTCTTCGATATATTCAACACTATTAGTGGCCAAAATGCCCTCCACTTCCTGTT